GGATGATGATGACTAGCTGCCTACCCTCTAGTCTTACACTGCTAAATTAGGGACGGCTAGCGCAGATAGCCCTCGTGTAGCTTTGCGCGAAATTCAAAACAAACAGTATAATAAATATACCGAGCGAGAGGAGTAATAAGTAAAACAGGTGCAACAGTTTTCAATACACCAATATGGTAATCACAACTCACCGTGAAAGTTGCAGTAACTTTAGTTAATTGGATTTCTGTACTGTGAGTCAACAAAGAAATACTCGTTAGAAACATCACCAGTTTCGTCAGAAATGTAAAAGTTTTGCAAATATCAGATTTACTCGGTACGACATATCAGAATTCTAATTAACTTAGTCCAGATAAGTAAACGGGACCACTTATTGGATTCCTGCTTTTTGAACTGTTCCTAAAAACAAATGAGCTATAAGTCAAATGTTATTAAATCGCTAATATTCTCGGTGTCTGTTTTTGAAGGCCCGAGGTTATAAACGAATTTAATATTATTTGAAACGTTTTTAATGTACTGATAACATACCTCCATTTTGAAACGTTTTTAATGTATTGATAAGATACCTCCAAGTATTTAGTAGAACACAAAACAGCTAGTCATCACTGCCCACCGCCAACTCTTGGGCTACTCTTTTACCAACGAATAGTGTGATTTACCGTCACAATATAACGCCCCCGCGGCTGAAAAGGCGAGCGTATTTGATGGGACGGGGATTCGAACCCGCGACCCTCAGATTGCGATTCGAGCGCCTTAACCACCTGGCCTTGCGAAAATGATACGGGAACTAATGGAAATGCCGTTTTTTTTATAACGATAGGATTAAAGTGCGATATCTTAGAAGGATAATCTCTCTTAAAGCTTAATGTAAGCATAAACCTGGATTAAAGAATATTCAATGCCTCAAGTTTTGCTTTTAAATAAAGTACTTTTATATTGTACTCTACAGTACGTACGTTCTCTCTTCAAACCCGATCTTAATTTTTGAAATACAGTTATAATGTTAATAGATCAAATATTCTAGCAAAGAAAAAAATAAAACAAAATTTGACACGTCTAATAAGATACTCGATTAATAGTTCGGCTGATTTCTTAGTTTTGTGCAACATTTTTACGTTGTGTTTTTATCTGGAGTTTTCCATTGTTTTCAAGTTATGAACTGTCTACTAATAGAGCTTTAGGATAAAAATGATGTTTTAAAATCTTCTTTATCAATACGAAAAACTTTTAAAACAATTTTTAAAAGACCAGTGAACCTTCAATGTTAATACTCAAATGTTTGTTTGTTTTTTCAGTTATTTCTTGATTTTCTGATAACGATAAAGATAGATTTACTTTTTTTTCGTGTGAACAATATTTCAATTTAGTTGTGATTCTATTCTCTTTTTTCCAAGATTGTTTTTCCGAAATATATTCTTCCACCTAAGCGCCACAAAAGAACTGTTTTGCTAGGTGTGTACTCGTAGGGTCTAGAATATAGAATACACAAACAACAAGCAGTATAGCCGAAAAAAAAACACAGTGGAAATATTTACACTCTAGAGTGTTAAAATATATTATATGGCAAAAACCTAGGACATCAAATTTTGTTATTTAACTCCAAATTTGAACCATAAATAATTAACTTTGGTGGATAATTAAAACAGATGTAATTAATTTCTATGGTTCTACCTAAAACACCTTGTTAAAGTGAATAAAATAAGAATGCTTTCAGTCCAGACGCAAAATACAGTAGTAAAATTATCTTCAAATCTAGGCATATGGAAAGATGGCAAATAATAAAAAAAAGTACAGGCTTTTATTTACTTAGTCTGCATATTCAAAAAACGTTGTTTCTGCTTCAGTTTAAAACACAAATACAAAGATAGGTTCGCTTCCTAGCTAATGGAACGTAACCAACTAAATGGATTGGACAAACACACGTAAGATGTTTTGTACCACTAAAAGGAACGAAGATAGCTAAGCTTGCTTTCAAATCTTGCAGATAATGTTAAAACAAAAATCTCGCTAGAACACGCTTCGCTTCTTATTTTCAATAGTTATTGGGGAAAAATATGTTGTTTTTTTAGTGAAATGTACAGTGAGTTTCAAAGGTATACAAACAGGCAACATTAGACTCTAAAATATAGTTGTACTTATATCTAAAAATACATTAAAACACACACACCCCCAGTGGCACAGCGGCATGTCTGCGGACTTACACAAACAGGCAACATTAGACTCTAAAATATTGTTGTACTTATATCTAAAAATACATTAAAACACACACACCCTCAGTGGCACAGCGGTATGTCTGCGGACTTACACAAACAGGCAACATTAGACTCTAAAATATAGTTGTACTTATATCTAAAAATACATTAAAACACACACACGCCCAGTGACACAGCGGTATGTCTGCGGACATACACAAACAGGCAACATTAGACTCTAAAATATAGTTGTACTTATATCTAAAAATACATTAAAACACACACACCCCAGTGGCACAGCGGTATGTCTGCGGACTTACAACGCTATAAATCGGGTTTCGATACCAGTAGTGGGAAGAACACAGATAGCCTATTACTTTGTGCTTAACTTCAAAGAAACACATCTCTAGCCCATTTGGTAGGTTATTAGCTTGTAGTGCGAACGGTCCTAAGTTGAAATGTTGCAAAGTTGAAAATTACCACGTATTTTTAACTCTCGGAGCTAGAAATCGGGTTTCGATACCAGTGGTGAGCAGAACACAGATAGCCCATTGTGTAGCTTTGTGCTTAACTTGAAACAAAACAAAATCTTAAAACACAACTTTAATTTAAGAAGTACATCTGATTGACTAGCTTGACCCTTGTAAAATAACAAAAAATAGGAATACGACCGCTTTATTTCAAAGAAACCCTATTTATTCAGGCATTTTTTTTTAATATCAGAAATATCCTCGTAGGTTTGTTTCCATAAGGCCACGCCCGACCCATCCTCATAGGTCCCTGTAAACTAGGTATTTTATTTCGTAATTGTCGTGTTCTTGAGTTATTTCATAAAAACGTCTTTTTACAGTGAGTAATTTAGCGGGTCATCAATTTTATATAGTTACCGACAGAATGTTACCAGGTTCCACAAATGGATTGAAATATATATATATATATATATATATAATAGTTCTAGGTTTATTGCTATAAGAAAGATACAACCACTAACGTGAAAGTAGGTACATTAAGGCCTAAGAACATTACCGGCCACATTGTGGAGGTTGGTAACACAGTGGGGCGAAGGGGGTGACAGTGAAATAGCTGAAATGAAATTCCACAATATTGTTAATAACAGTGAGTTCTGACCTGGAAACACTTTGAAAGCTTCCATCTTCTTAAAATAAAGAAAAACAATTCGAGTACCACGCAACTTTCCATCCATTTTCCGAAATTGAATGAAATCCAAAGTGAAGCTATATATTTTTATTACATTTCAGAATGCCGCAAAGTTTGACAAGTGTGATGTGAAAAAAAAAGACATAACAAAAATCTGTAAATACTGTTATTTAAATATAAATAATAAGATAAAGTATGTCTTCCAGAAGAATTGCATTTCTGCTCTGGTCTTTTATATAAATCTATGATGACAAGAGAAGAGTAAAAGGACAGGAAAATATTTTTGTACTTTAGGCTTACAAAAGTGAAAGGTTTTTCAGGAACAGGATTTTTGTTTTTTTGATTTACTTTGATTCAGTGTTTTTCTTTTGGTGGTAAAATCCAGTTTTGTTTGTAATATAATTTTTTTTTTATTCACGGGCTCTCCTATTTACCATGCATTGTATATGATTTGCAATCCATTTAACAAACGTCTAGGCATTATTTTTTTCATTTTGTTTTATATTTGTTATTGAATTTGACTGTAAATAATCCAATTCTCAATCAAGTCTTTTCTCTGGAGTTATTTTTTGTTGCTTGAAGAAGATAATGTGTGTGTGTGTGACCTTTTCTTGCGACTACTGGAGTTGAAAGTACATTTCAAGGTTTCCTTTTGAGTGTCTTATATATATATATATCTGAAAATGTTTGTACATGAATGATGATATCGGATAGTTGAGAATATGGTGGTTGTAACAGTACATTTATATTCTGTATTTATGGCAAAACTACTAAGGCTTGCCATCTCTTAAATCCAGAGCTCTACCATAGGGCCAACCTGCGCCTGGCAAAACTGCTAAGGCTTGCCATCTCTTAAATCCTGAGCTCTACCACAGGGCCAACTTACGCCTGGCAAAACTACTAAGGCTTGCCATCTCTTAAATCCAGAGCTCTACCACAGGGCCAACCTACGCCTGGCAAAACTACTAAGGCTTGCCATCTCTTAAATCCAGAGCTCTACCACAGGGACAACTTACGCCTGGCAAAACTACTAAGGCTTGCCATCTCTTAAATCCAGAGCTCTACCACAGGGCTAACCTGCGCCTGGCAAAACTACTAAGGCTTGCCATCTCTTAAATCCAGAGCTCTACCACAGGGCCAACCTGCGCCAGGTATAATAACAGACTTACAAACTTCCATTAATGGAGTGTATTGGGACAAACACGAGACACGTAGCTATGTTTTGATTTATTTTTTTTTCGTTGTTAACCAAAAAGCTGCACAATACTTAACCAGATAGTAAACTCAAAACGAAACTTTGTTTTCACAAAAACGTTTTATGTTTTTAAGACAGTTTCCAGCCTATATTTAAACAATATTCAGTTAAACCATGATAACCATGATAACCTTACAATATATTCTGTTTTCACAAAAAAAAAAGGTTTTGAGTCTGTAAAAGCAATAAATTAAACAGCATTCGGTTATTTTTTATATACCCCTAGATGACAAGTAATCGGGTATTTTGAAGTCATAACATGATATCTCTCTCAGTTCCTGTCGTTCCTAGTGGAACATTGGGCTACAACAAGTTGCTAGCCCCGCGTCCAATCCTCCTCCTTTCTCCTCCTGGACTTGGGACCAGGCAATGGTGGTGGCATCCCTGCCGGGAAAACGAACCCGGTACCTTTGGATTAGAAATCCAACGCGCTATCCACTGCGCTATAGGGACACATAACATGATATACGAACTGAAATTTAGGAAGTCCGCAACAAAGTTATGATGTTATCCAGTCTGGATAGTCAGTAAACCGAGTTTCATTGGATGAATCAGTAATATCTATGATGGAATAAAACCGTTTATCATTTACTCAATATACTTCTTTAAATGTCAATAGCTTCGCGTGCTCACTACTACGCCTCAGTGCGTGTTTGTATTGAACTTATAGTCCGTCATATTCTTGACGTGTTGTTTAATCCAGGCGAGAGATTTAAAATATCGTAACACGCAAAGAACCATCGATATTCCTATGGCAATTTTTAAAGAAATGGATTTTGTGAAAATTGAATCTAAACACAAAAACATTAACACAAAACAATTAAATTTTTTCTATCTATGTTAACTATTTGAAGATAAAAATTGATTTAGTAATTGTTAACTGTATATATATTTGTGTTGCACGTTTACTTGATCTTTGAACTCTTCCCACAATTCTTCACAAAATGATTTTCAATTTTGCACGTAGGATCTCGACGCCAACAAAATTTAAAACGAAGAAAAATATTCGAAACGGTCACGAGGGGGCTCCAAATAATGTGTGATCAGTGTAGTTCTGTCAGCTCTGGAGTTTGACTGAACACATTTATATGAAAGTTGGCATTAACATGTACGAAGTAGCCAAAAAACGATTTATCTGAAATCAGGTCTTTCGAAATTTTAATATGGGAACCCACAAATGGAGGATCGGGGGTGGGATATCAGGATTGGCTGAACAGATTTACTTGAGAATTGTATATGGTTGTTCTAAAACAAAGTGTGTGAACTTTCATTGTTGTTGTTGCCCCACGTGTACGTTTACAGGATATCTATTTACTAACAATATAGTAATATTTGTTTGTTTTTTTGGGAGCAAAGCCACATTGGGCTATCTACTGTGTCCACTGCGGGGAATCGAATCCCAGATTTTAGCTCTGTAAGTTCGAAAACTTGCCGCTTACCCACCGGGGTACTAAAATTAGTAATAATTTGTTTTATACAAATCATTTTGGTAGAGTTTGATTCGTACGTAAATATTTTCGACAGAAATAAACATAATTATAGAAACCGAGTTTCGGAGATATTGGTCAACGGGTTTATATATATTACTAATACTGAAACATTATTTTGGGATGTTTAGGTAATCCCGTAATTTTTGAAAAACTGGCTTTAAATTTTGCTTGTGGAATCCTGACGTCAACATAATTGAAACGAAAAAAAATATTTTCGAAACACCCATGAGGGGACCCAAGAATGGAGAGATAAAGCTTGTTTATTTGCTATTAAACGCAAAGGTGCACAATAGGCTATCTGTGCTCTACTTATTGCGGGTATCGAAATCCGAATTTTAGCGTTGTAAGCTGTGTGACTTACAGCTGTACCACCAGGGGTTTGTTTGGAATTAAGCACAAAGCTACACAATGGGCTATCTGGGCTCTGCCTACTGCGGGTATCGAAATCCGAATTTTAGCGCTGTAAGCTGTGAGACTTACAGCTGAACCACCAGGGGTGCAGATGTCTATTGTATTATATGCTAATCTCATAAAAAATATATTCTTTATTTTGTTATTGAGCGTGCTCTAACATTTATTCTTCAATGAATACCGTTAGAGTTTTAATAGTGGTAAAAAAAGTTAGTACATTAATTTACGCTTTTTTAATGTTTTTATTTACAGGTATTTTCAATGAGCGTACAAATAAAAAAACAATAAGCGTATAAGTTGAAGAGGAGCAGAGAATCCGTATTTTGTTGGCTCAAAGCTTGAAGAGGGGTAGAGAAACCGTATTTTTAGCTCAAAGCTTGGAGAGGAACAGAGAAACCGTATTTTGTTGGCTCAAAGCTTGAAGAGGAGCAAAAAAAACCGTATTTCTTGGCTCAAAGGTTGAAGAGGAGCAGAGAAACCGTATTTTGTTGGTTTCAAAGGTTGAAGAGGAGCAGAGAAACCGTATTTTGTTGGTTCAAAGCTTGAAGAGGAGCAGAGAAACCGTATTTTGTTGGCTCAAAGCTTGAAGAGGAGCAGAGAAACCGTATTTTGTTGGCTCAAAGCTGGCTTCAAGTTATAATTATCGGACTCTCGTGATAAGGAAGAGGGAGAAAATAGAATTTTATTTGCTCAAATCTAGCCTTAAGGTCTGATTATCGAACACCCTTACGATCGAGAAGAGAGGAGAAGTCGAATTTTGTTCGATTAAACTGATCTCAAGTTGAAGTTATCGCATTTTCGTGATCCTTCACAATTTTCCATCTTATGTGAACTAACGATACTGAAATTGTTATCTTTAACACTTAATGCATTAACAGTATTATTTCGAAATACGTTCGTTTTATACGAGTATAGAACAATTCGTATAAAAGAGGTACGCATTCAAAATTTCAGCTAACGCTCTAAGAGAAGCTGAATAAGGTGTAGTAATCCTTTCTGTAGGAAATGGTCATGTTAAACGTAAAACAAATGTGATATTTTTCTTCAACAATATATCATTCATTACCAGTTACCAATTAACACTTGTTTTGATTCGTGTTTCCTTCGACAAAGTTTTCAGATAATGTAACCTCTTGGTAGAAATCTCTGAACACAGTTCGTATGGGTTTTGTTTCTTTTGAATTTCGCGCAAAGTTACTCCAGGGCTATCTACGCTAGCCGTCCCTTATTTAGCAGTTATATACTAGAGAGAAGATGGCTAATCATCACCACTCACCGCCAACTCTTGGGCTGCTCTTTTACCAACGAATAGCGGGATTGACCGTCACATTATAACGCCCCCCACTGCTGAAATGGCGAGCGTGTTAGGTGATGGGTATTCGAACCCACGACACTAAGATTGCGAGTCGAGCGCCCTAACCACCAGGTCATTTGCGCTGTGCTAATCACGAGTATCAAAACCCAGTTTTTAGCGTTATAAGTCCGCATTTGCGTGGGACTTTGTTCAGAACTTGTAGAATGTCAAACACGACTTTAAAGCCATCTTTAAGTTTTTAATAGCAACTCTTCTTTTATGAGAACAATTAAGTCAAAAATGTCAAACATGGAAACTTCTTCAAAAGGGAAGTCAACGAAAAAGCACTAAAATTAAATGTTTTTGATTTTGCAATCTATGTGTAATTATATTCTGTCCAGATGCTCCGTTCTATACTATGTAGAATTGGTTTTCTTCGAGTACTCAGTTTGCTCTTTGTAGAATTCGAGTAATAATCCAAGCTTTAATATATGCTTGCTGGTATCCCAGAGTATTTTGATAGTTTGCTATTTAATAAATCTTGAAGTTAATTACTACAAGTATCTTGACAGTCTTGTGATTTATGGTGGTTAGAGCGTTCGATTCGCAATCCAAGGGTCACCGTGATACCGAACATGCTCGCCCTTTCAGCTGTGGGGGCTTTATAATATACGATCAATCACACTGTTCGTTGGTAAAAGAATAGCTCAAGAGTTGGTGGTGTTGACTAGCTGTCTTCCTGCTAGTCTATCACTGTTACATTAGGGACAGCTAGCCCTCGAGTAGCTTTACGCGAAATTCAAAACAATCCTAAAATTAATTATTATTAATATTTTGACACTTTTGTGATTTAACACATCTTGAAAGGAAGTACTACTAATATTGTGACAGTCTTTGTAACTGTCAAGCATGTTATTGTTTGTTTTGTTTCAGCCCACCAGTGGCACAGCGGTATGTCTGCGGAGTTACAACGCTAGAAACCGGGTTTCGATACCCGTGGTGGGCAGAGCACATATAGTCCATTGTGTAGCTTTGTGCTTAATTCCTAACAAACAAACAATTCTTTTATCTTAACTTCGAGTATCACATTCTTACTTAAGTTAAAGTTGTTTTAACTAGTGTAATAAGTTCATTATGCAATTTGAATAATGCAAAAAAATTTTCGTACTGAAATATCAACTTAGAATAATAAGATCACTTAGGTTTTGAAATTTTATACGATTGTAAATTCTTATTATCAATTGTTCATTAGAGGAACCTCCTGAGAATCACAAAGACAGTTTTACAGCTCCAATAATTTAGTGGAACCTCCTGAGAAGCACAAGGACAGTTTTACAGCTCCAGTAATTTAGAGGAACCTCCTGAGAAGCACAAATATAGTCGTACGGCTTCAATAATTTAGAGGAACCTCCTGAGAGGCACAAAGACAGTTTTACAGCTCCAGTAATTTTAGAGGAACCCCCTCAGAGGCACAAAGACAATTTTACAGCTCCAGTAATTTAGAGGAACCTCATGAGGAGCACAAGGACAGTTTTACAGCTCCAATAATTTAGAGGAACCCCTGAGAAGCAGAAATATGGTTGTACGGCTCCAATAATTTAAAGGAACCTCCCAAGAAGCACAAAGACAGTTTTACAGCTCCAATAATTTAGAGGAACCCCTGAGAAACACAAATATACTTGTACGGCTCCAGTAATTTAGAGGAACCCCTCTGAGAAGCACAAAGACAATTTTACAGCTCCAATAATTTAGAGGAACCTCTTGAGAAGCACAAAGACAATTGTACAGCTCCAGTAATTATAAGGTATTATAGAAAAAAAAAACATTTGAATAACCTGTTTTAACTTCACTGCTTTTTTTTTCGTTTTTATCAGGAGCAACCTTCCCAAGACTGACTGCAGAGTGTGAGTAGTAGTTTCAGATATGGGTTAGAACATTATTCTACGCTCACAATTTAGGATTTTTGATATTATTTCTCTTCTGAGGTTTAAAAGTAGAAGTTAACTCTGAATGAAGACTTTTTACCCCCGTATGAGTCCTTCCTTTCCATCTGCATATATCTTTCGTAGGATAAAAAGTACAATTTCAACTGGTCCGTCTCACGGGGACAGTGGTAAGTTTACGGACTTACAAGGCTAAAATCCAGTGTTTGATTGCCTGCGGTGGATACAACAGATAGCCCAATGTACATTTGTTCCAATACAAACAACCCATTGGTTCCCTGGTGGCAAAATGATGAGCTTCTGAGATTATAACAT